GGGCAGCAAGCTTTGTTCTGTGCTTATAAGAGTTTAGATTTTGCATGCCAGTTACAGATGAAATAGTTGTGATGGTCTGGTGTGAGGGTGTTTTCCTTCCACTCCGATCTGAATCAAGAGAAAATAAATGAATTGGTGCTGTTTCTGGGGAGACTTGCTAACTTTTGTTTTGAGATTTTCTTTTTCTTCTGTCAAGAGAGAATTCATAGAGGCTCGGTAATTTTGATGGAGATTATATATGATTAAAATAATTTTGAAGCTTGCCTTTATTTGCCACATTTAAAGCATCATTTTCTTTACAACAATGTTTTTAAACCAGCAGGTTCTTAGGCTGTGTAAGCAGTATGTGCAGGGAGTGAGTGTGTCACTGGAGGCTTCCACTCATGTGTCTTTTATATATTATGGTTAGGGTCTCAGTAATCAGGCAAGATACGGCTGTGCACTTCTAAAAAGTGCCCATGAAGCTGCCATTTAAATGTGTATTGTCTTAGAATATTTTTTTCTTGTTGAAGTATATTCATTGAGAGGACAGGCTGTATAAATTCTAAAGTACTGTTGTATATTTGATTTCTCTCTCTATTTTTTTTTAAGTTGATGTCTTTTTCTTGAACTATGTGAAAATATTTTAAGTTACTGTGCAGGAAAATATGGATACATGATATTTTGCATAAAAAGAATGTGTGCAAAAAGTGGTTTTGTTTGTGTTTAAATTAACTGCAATTTTATTTCAGTTTTTAATGAAAAATACCTTCTGACTTGAGAATTTATATAATAGTTTGCAACACAGCTTTATGTACAATTGTACATAAAGGTTGTAGGTTACAGCCCTATTAATCTAAAAGCTTACACAGAACAATCCAGAATAGTCTGCAGTTCATGTAAAACTGGTGTTTGCAATTCTTCGTAAGCCTCACAGTTAAAAAATAAGAGTAGGAAAATAAAAACAGGCTTTGGTTCAGAAACTAGATCTTATAGTTTAAAACCACAAACAAACTCTGAAACTCAGGATGTTACGGTAGATCGTGAAGGATGGATCAGTTGTCTTCATCCTTTGAGTTCAGTAGGTGGTGGTTGATGTGAGGTGGTGCTGTGTGAAATGGGTGAGTGTTTCTCTGGAAGAACCAGGGTTTAGGGGAATTGGTGACTGTCTGGGTGTATTTTGCTTGTGTTTGTGTAGCTGTCATTTCTCTGCCAACAGGGTGTGTGTTCTTGTGGAGTGATGTGTAATCCTCTCCACCAGAACATGGAAGCATGACTTCAATAAGTTTTTAGCCTTTAGAAAAAATAAGTGTGTTGTCTATCCAAACTTAAATGGTTGCACGTGGGAGAAAAATGCTCAAATGTTTTCTTCAAAGTCTGATGCTAAAATGGGCCATGAAGTGTAACTGGGGAGGAGTTAATATGATGATGATCTGTATGCTTTCCTCTTGCATCTGGAAAGGTTGAGAATGAACACGTTGATTTAAAAGCGGATTGTGGATATGGTTTGTTGCTTTTGGGTTTATTTGTTTGAATGTTAAATACTGATGGAGAGTACTGCATGAACACATGGGTGAGGGGCATTTCTATAAAAGCTCTTCAGTGTTATAATCCTACTATCTGCTTCTTTGGGAGTGACTGGAAAATTTAGTGAGCATGAAACTTAGTCCTAAAGGACATAAATTCCTCTTCATATATTGGATCTTAATGAAGATTCACAAAATTAATCTTAAGAGCATGTCTTTTGTGTCTCTGCAGCTCCTGACATATGGGTGGCCTGCTCCCTGTGTGAACACTTAGGTTCAGTTTAATAAAATAGATAATAATTATAAGCTCATATGCCCTCTTCTAATGCTCAAGCACAGTAGAGAATATACCTGAGAAAACTCCAAGTGTGTGTGTGGGTGTCATACTCTCTCAGAGTATGGATGGGTCTTGGGAATGTTAAAAGCAGAGGGAGAGCTCAGTCTGTGTCATTGCTCATGTAGACTTCTCTGAGCTGGAATGCTGGGAGCTCCACACCTAGTATCAAATAATCTTTACCATGGGCTTAAGAGCTGGAGCATAATGATAAGGGGAGTCAAAGGAAAGGTTATTCATGGATGCCTGGTAGAACATGAAGAATTCCTTAAAAGAAGAGCTGGAAGCAACTTAACCAAACAACAATTCAGTATATGAAATGGAGGCCTCAGTTTCAGTCAGTGTTGCTGAATTTTTTTCCTCTTTCTGTAAGGGCCCAAAGTCGAGTCTGCAAGGAGCTTGTTAATATCCCATCCCATCCCATTCAGAACCAGATGCAGAGCTCAAAACAGTGGAACCAATTTGGGAGGTCTGAAGACTGGCTGCATCACACGTGCAATGAGCCCAGTCTCGCTGTGCTGGTGGTACAGAGTCATTCTGCACGTCATGGTGCATACAGCGAGACCAGCTAGGCTTAGTGTCGGGTCTACTGCGCAGTACCTTCCTGCCGCCTTTCGGAGCATACGTATTGTCCTTAAAGTACAAACTTCCTTGAACTTCTCTGTAGATTCACAAGCATCTCACTGATGTAAATTATGCTGAGATTGCCAAATCCTTTTCTTATGAATGTTAGAGTCATGCTGAGTTTGACATTTTGTTGGGAAACCTTAGGCTTTCACTTGGCAGCGTGGTATACGCTTACCCAACAGCAGTGCTTGCATTACTGAGAAGAATGAACATCTGAAAGCTTTGACAGGCTTTCAGTCTGCTTTTACTTTCCATGCATCACATACTCAACCTACTTTTTGAAAAGATGTAGCTTACTGGAAATTGATGAAATTTTGAAACATTGTTGGAAGTTTATGCATTTAAGATAACTACAATGTCTTATTGGCAAACAAAATTTTCCATATCCATCATAATTCATCTGTTTGTACCTTAGAGAGCTCTGTAATTACAGGAGAAAATTGAAAAAGAAGGAAAAGAGAAAGGAAATACCTAATTTAGGTGCACAGGAATCTCATATTAAATCTTTGAGTCCTGCCCTGCCATGGTACAACAAAGTCCAGTAAAACTCTGGGCAAGTGCTAGGGTACCACTTGTCTAAGGTTTGTGATAGATTTCCATCCTGTCCATTTCCAGGCCTTGCAGACTCATGGCACCATACATGGTTCCTTTAGAAATCACTTTAGGAAATGATAGTGTTAAAATATTGACTGTACATGGATAGATATTAAATCTGTTTTTGCAAAATCTGGCCATGATCAAAAAACCAGGTTTGAATCCTGAGCTAGATTTGGCTGTATGTATATTTTTTTTTAAACTGAACAGGCTTTTCATCAGAAACCAGTAATGTGTTGAAGAAGTGACATTTGAATAGGAATGTGGTAGGTGAGGGAGAACTTCTTTAGGAGAAGTTTTCAGATATCTAAGGTTATTGCCTTATGGTCATGACATTCTTCTGTGCTATGAAATATAACAGTTTAGGTCCTTGGTCTGGCTTCCTCTTGCAATTTCTTAAGAGGAATTGCAATGCTCCTTGAGAGAATACTTAGTGAATAAGGAGCTTCTAGACCTGATTAATAATGTGTAAATTATTTACTGTAAAAGGAACTCACAGCTGGGTCCTCTTCACTCAAGGTGAGGTGGTGTAACCATTCAACTGTAGGCAGCACCTCTGCCTCTTTATGTGTTAATGAAGACTGGAACAACTCCTGTAAAACAAACAGAGATCCCTGTGTCCACACTATTTTGGGAAATCACATGAAATAGATAAAATTGGGAGATAAGGGGATAACAGCTAATGCCTTCAGTTGGGTTCCTCTAATTTTTTGCTCTCTTTTTCCATGGGGGGTAGATCTTTATTTGGCTCATAATACAATCTTTCTTTAGGTCTAGGATTCAACATGTGTGCTTCTTCTGTTTTCCACATTTGATCAGAGCTCCCAGTTTCCTTTCCCACCAGCTTTGTCTACCAATATTTTGCAGCGGTTGCATATGTTTCCTAGACAAATGGACTCATAAATTTGAATTTTGAATGAAATAGAACTTTGTTTTTTAATTCTGAGTATTGCAGTGGTTAGGAAGGTGCTTTGTGTGAGTCTTAGTGGCAGTGTGTGTATAAGGGTTTTTTTGTCCCTGTTTTTCTCAGCCTAGCATGAGGTGACAATGGAAAGTTTCTTTTCCTCTTGCTGCTAACAATTCACACGTTGATGCCTGATAGGAAAAATAATGCTCTCAAGGTTACTGTATTTTTCATATGTATACATTGTGGCTTATCTCTGGCTTGAGAGCTTTGTTTGTTTTTAAATGCAGGCCAAGTCAAACCCTGCGGTTTAGCAGCAGCGTGTGTTGTGTGTACAGGCATAACAGGAGAGAAGTCCTATTCCATGGCTCCTTCCTTAGCAGTGTCCTGGTCTCTTGCTGGTTGTTTGCTCAGCAGACATGAGTTATCTGTGAACTTCTGGGTATTTTTTTTGTTTTTAAGAACTTTTTAAGAGCTCTGAGTTACCTGAAGCAAAGGTTATATGTGGTGAAATAGTGTTGTTCTAAGCCTCTGGGATATTTTTCCTCTACAAAATCTATGGAGGCCAATAGAAATGGCTGTTTCATGATGTGCCATGTACTGTTTGTTAGTTTGGGGCTGTAAAACTTGATTTGCGTGTCAGTCTAAGCAGAGGCAGTACACAGTAAACAGCCAATGCAGTAAATCAAGGTGTCATGTGCTCATATCATGTTCAGTTAGGAGAAATATGTGCTAAATATCCCCATTATATATCAAAAGAATCCCAGAAGAGTGATTAGTCAACCTGTGGGTATTTTTACCCAAGCTGTGGGTATTTTTCCACCTATGAAAATAAATATTTATTTTCCATTTCTTTATTGTTGTTGGTTATAACAAGATCTATTGACTTGGGATTTACCAGGAGCCAGTAACTTTTCATGTTGTTGATACTTTCAGATTCCTAGTAGAATTCCCGTAGAACAGAAAACCAAGATAAGACATTTATTTATTTATTTTTATTTTCTTCCACCATCTCCCATTTCCCTTCTTCTCACAGAATATCTCCATGCATAACACAGTTGGAGGAGCAATGGCAGGACCTGGATCCCACCAGCTGACAAACACAAGGATGCCAAACCACGACACCAGCGTTGTGATTCAACAAGCCATGCCGTCTCCACAGTCCAGTTCTGTCATTACACAAGCACCTTCCACAAATCGGCAGATTGGGTGAGTCCATTTCCATTTTCTCACTTCTCTGGTTCTCTGGCTCCTGCCTGTAGGACCAGATGTTGTCCTCATGTCCTCATGCTTCTTAAGGTCCAGATGCATGCAGGCCCAGATGTTGTTCTAGAGGTTTTTGAGGTTACAAAGGTTGCACTTGACCTGCCAGAATGAGCAAGGACCCCTGCAGCACAGGTTGCAGGCTGTGGGGAATGTCCAGGTTACTCCAGATATGGCACACTGGAGGACAGAATGCTGTACTTACTGGAAAGTCCGACTTTCTGCATCCAGTTTTTTAAAAAATTTTCTTATGATCATAGTGTATATTTTTTCTATAACTGCTCTGGGAAGAAAAACAGTGTTTTTGTGAAGCTGATCTTTAACTTCCTTCAATGGCAATTCTGGATTTTCTATGGGATTGAGCTATTTCCTGTGTCCTGTGTTTGAATGAGGAATGCTGGAAGACAAAAAGATCATCAAGGTAAATAGAGTTTGGTACAGTGCGGATAGCTGCTCAATTTGTAATGATGGATCCATATTTATTACCATAAATTGACAGTATGGATGCTTATTGTATTGGCTTGAATGCCAATTGAGTGCTAATGTCTGGAGAACTGTATGAACAAAACTACCCATGTTTAGTATATGTTTACACCTGGTTACTTCCAGCAAGTATGAGATCCTCGTAAGTCACAATAACTTGTTTTAATTGTACAGAAACTACCCCAATGGCTTGAAGGTACAGTTTTTCATCACCCAGCTCTGAGAATTCGGGGGTGGGGTTATACATGAAAATGTATGGATGAAAAGATTTATTAGTGGACCAAGAAAGAAGCAGCAGTATAGATTCATTATCTGTCATTTGTAATTTGGTCACATCAATTAAGTGATGTATGCAAAAGCATTCACTGTCCCCCATCATTATCTAAATAATTGATGATCAGCTTTCAGTCTTTTCAAAGTAAAACCGTAAAGTGAAATCCTGGCTTTGAAAACTGAAATTCTAGCTATGCTTGAGTTCTCTTTCAAGATTCTTGGTGTAGGTCACAGGCTCTGTATCTCCCATGGTAGCTGGCATGGCCCATGGCACTGAGCTCTGGGCTGCCCAGCCATGCACAGAACACAGATTCCATCTGCTGCCCTAGTTTTGTACTCTTGGCCAAACTCCTCTATTTTCCTTTTTACTGCTATTTCAGGATTTGGATCTTAATATATAAATCTGGTAGGATGGGTCACATAAAGCAATTTGATAGATGTGCCCTCTGTGTATATTACATCTTGTCAAAACACAGTGTTTGCTGAGATTCCACATGCAATACCATTTACCTGTGAATCCAGCAGAGTTGTTTTATATATGTCCCATTCTGTTCAAAGAGAGGGGGCTGGGTGAGAGGGAGGGAGGAAGAAACAGTTTCTTTTTCAGTTTTAGAAAGAAAAACATTAACTAATGCCATTATTTGCGTTAAGGATGACTAAGCTCCTGTTCAAATTGTGACTTAATAGGTCTAGTGGTAATTATGATCCTAATTAAAAGCATAAAAAAATCCCAAACAACTTTTAACACTCAGTGGTGAGGTGTTTTATGTAAGACTGTATTTGGCTTCCAAACAATTGTTTCTATATAATGAGCAAAAAACTGCATGTGGTTTTGCAAGACCCTGTCAGTCAGGTTTTAGGTTTGTGTTGGTTCAGGGCCATGGTGATTAGAATCTCCAAAGTTGGTGGGGTTGAGGATAAAAAGGCCTTTTCCTAGTCATTGGTGTGTCTCACTTGGGAAACTTTGTCATGACATATCTTAATTCTTCCCTGTGACTGAATCACACAAATGTTTCCTAAGTCTGAGTCTAAAGCTGCTTTCTTGGGAGGTAATTGTCAGCATTTTAGTCTCTGTGTGAGTTGGTGTGTGAATGAGACTTACGGTGTGACCTCCAGCATACTCTGTTCCCCATTCTTCCCTCTTCCTAGGAGGTTTTGTTTTTTGTTCATGGTGTGTCCTAGGAGATAATTGCTGTATTTTCAACTTCCTCTACTTGCCAAAGTGTCGACCATCCTTGTTTGTCTTCTTTTCCTTCAGTCTTTTTCCTGTGGTGTCTGTTTTACTTATTCAGAGAACATATCTTGTCATTTCCATTTATCTTCATCTTATCCTTCTAAATGTGCTAAGAATTATATCCACGACTCATTCATGAGAAATACAAATTGGACAATGGTTCTAGTATTAAACAACTGAAAAAAAATCCAGATGAATTCAGAAAATATTTGAGGTCTTTGAAGTTTGATCATTTTGATTTAGCCTTGGAAAGTTGAGTTTGTTTAGCTATTTAACAAGCCCAAATTTTGAGGTCCTCAAATCAGTAGGTTTTGCTTGAGTTTCCCTTTTTTAGAAATAATTTGAATTTGCCCCAAAGGGTAGATGAGTCTTTACCATGAAGAATTGTGCCAGGGAAAATGCCTTTTAATGAGCAATAAAACCAGCAGAGAGAAACTGGGTAAAACTCTCACTGAATTCTGTAAGAGCAGGATCAAGCCCTGAAGGTTATATAGAACCATCTTGTAGCAATATTCTGATTTTTATCACAACCACAAATATTTTAGTGTCAGACTATGGCCAAGCCACCTGCAAATGTTTATGATGGCCTTGCTCCAATGAAAACAGGGAACAGCAATGAAAGTCTTCATTTAGCCCCTGTTTGTAGGCTGTGCTCTAGTAACTGAGAATGGGACCCACCTGTGCCCGCACACAGCTCGTTTCATGGTGAGGAGTGGGCGAGTTTGTAGCAGCTGATGTTCCCAAGGGATGTAATTTTTCCTTACTTTCGTTTCTCGTTCTCTTTCTTCTCCCTCTCCTTCTAACCTTCTGCCTCCCTCCCTCCATGCCTCTCTTTTTTCCTATCCCCTGCTCTGGGGGCTTGCACATAAAATGAGATATTGACACAAGGCATGGGAAAACATGACAGAATGTTCATTGTTGGGCAAGCCTTACTGGCACAATGTATATCCACACAACGTTTTAGGTATTAAGCTTCAGCTACTACTGAACAGGCACTCAGCCAGATTAATCAGATAAAAGGAAGAGCATGAAGGTTATTAACTTAAAAAATAAGACAGGGTGCAGCCCCACTTTCCTCCCACCACGTTCCTTTTGTTGAGAACAAACAGTAACATTAGCATTACAGCAAGCTGGCAGGTTGGTATAAAGGTCCCTGATAGTATTTATGTGGTGAGGCAGTCTCTAACCTCCTTGCCATCCCTCCTCCCTCCCCACCAAGCCTTCAGCATGTGGGAGGAATGCTGGAACTAGTAACTACTTGTGCTGATGAAAAATCAGTTGAGGAACACTTAGCAGTGAAGGGTGTCTTTGGCTGATTAATAGCACATCATTTCTAGATAAGATACATGGAGCAAAAGCAGTATGGCACATGGAGGAAGGCAAGAAAAAAAATGATATAAGACATGCATTTGTCAAAGGTATAGAAAAGCAGATAAGCTGAATCAGCTCAAGATATGGGACTCTGAACTAGGCTGTACAATAGCAGTGCTTGTCTTCTTTTTAAAATAACTCCATTTTTTTTCTGTGACTGAATATACAGCAGTGTGAGGGAGTTCTGGGCAGACAAATTGGTGACAACACAGCACAGTGGTTGCTCTATCTGGGTACATCTTTTGCTAGGAAAGATGTGTTTTTCAGGCTATCAATTACTGTAGGTAGCTGCAACCTGACAGCATTCATGGAGAAGGTAACTTGCTTTCAAGCTAGTTTTTCAAGCTAGTAGTGGACATAAATAGTATTTTTTCCAGATTGAAAATCACTGATACAGCTCTGCAGCTGATAAAGAACATGGGAGGATGGAGGATTGTCACAGATGCAGCAAGTGGTTAACCTTGTAGTAAATGGAGAGGGAGAGTGAGTCCAGTTTCAGTGAACTCAGGCTCCAAAGTGGACATAGAACACTAACCATGTGATGTAGATTATCTGTTTTTCAAGTGTTGTAGAGCACTTTAATCGAGATAAGATGGTCTTCTGGCACAGCATCAAACGGGAAAAATTGCTACCACATTTGGTGAAATGCAAGCAGGTAGGAGAAAGCAACAAAAGGAGCTTGGAAGATGCTTCTGGTGCCTTGATGTTCTGAAGAATCATGGTACCAATGGGAGAACAGCCTTTCAGTTCCCACATGCAGCATTCATTTAACACCTATGCATTGCCTTACTGTTCCTCTCTCTTTCCTCTCATGGTGCCACGTGTGTCTCTCTGGTTCCAGTTTATCATCTCTTCAGGGGTTTGAAGACTTTTCAAACAAAAGGGCATGGGAAGTGGAATAGTCAAAAAATTGACTACTCCATGCATGTAGTGGGACTAACAAAGTTTTGGTGACCTTGACCGTTTGGAAAATGAAAAAAAAACTTCTTAGTCTCAACTGGAGGGTTTCAGATGGCAGAAGGACAGATTGTCTCTGTGGCAAGCAAAGGAGTTTCACCATAGCAAAATCTGAGACTTGCAACTGCTGGTTGAGTTTTCAGAGTATCCTGCTATCATCATTTATAGCTCAAGGAAACAGAAAAGACTCCTGTAAGAGACAATCACAGGCAGAAACCCTTCCATAATGCAGCTAGCTCTGGAAGGCACTTGGAATAGGTGGGTGACTGAGAAGGGTCTTTGTACATCCAAGAAAAATTGTCTCTTTAAAGTCTTAGTAAGTTGGTGGAGTGTGTGGCATCAAAGAGGCCATGGAATGATGCGCTTTTATGAAATTCAAAGACTAGTTCTTTTTCCAGGAAATCTGTGATAAAAGCCTCTGTTCCAACTCATGTATTCAAACTGAAGTACCACAGTATGTTGTGAGATGAGAAGAAAAGTGCAGTGAGAGATGAAGCATCAAATGACCACTCAGTGGCTTGATCAAGTCCATTCCATAGCCTTGACTGTGCAGCATGTAAGAACGGCAGTGAGATTACTGGAAGGGGAGGAAAAGCGAAGAGAGCGCATCTGACATTGTCATTCCGTC